GGCCCTTACCTGATTAATTTTTAAAAAGTGTTTTAGAGTATTGTCCATGTGTAAGGAATAGCTCTATCCAAGTGCCTCAAAAAGAATTGTCCACACATTTCATTTTCTCATCTCCCACTGGGCAACAATGGCCCGAGATCACCTTGGAGTTATCCTTGACATCATCCATTCCCTCCCCTCCTATATTCCGCCCATCGTTAAGTGTCTGCGATGTAAAAATAAGAAGAGCTCACATTGGTTGGGCACTTACTATGTATCAGGCACTTATTATGTATCAGGCACTGATGAACTATGTTACATGAATTTATTCATATAACATAGTCCATCTACTTTTGATCTCCACCATATCCACCCTAGTCGAAGGTGCTTCCGTCCTTGCCTGAACAACTTGCAAAAGCGTCTTTATTTTTTTTTAATCCCAGATGCAGAGGTTGAGTCACTCATTTCTCACCTTATGGCGTACTATCATCATTGGGGTCTTCATGGCCTCTCTCTTGTTTTATATAATATATATATATATATATATATATATATATATATATATATGGCCTTTTATCTCTTTTCTCCACTCATGCCGCCTTCCCCAATGGTGTGTGAGAGCATCTTTGGAAAACTTGTGTTGTTTAGTATGCACGTTTTTAATTTACCTAAATGGTATTGTGTTATAAACCTCACTCTATTTCTTACTCTTCCCGCTCACTCTATTTCTTACTCTTCCCACTTAGCACCATGCTTTTAAGACCTATCCTTGTTGCTGGTGTATACCTAGTCTGTTCCTTAGAACAACTGTGCAACGTTTCATAGTGGGCACCCACATTTTAGTTATTCGGACCCACGGGGAGGGACCTCAAAATTGCCTTCGATTATGGACTACCACAAACAATGCCACAGTGAACGCTTCATGCTTGCCCCCTTGTAGCAGGTGTGGGGATTTTTCTGGGATATATACCCAATGGTAGGACTGAGTAATAATAGCCTCTTACGTTGTCTCCCCTCAACCATTCTGGCCACAGAGATCGTCTTAAAATGCAAATGTGTTTATGTTCTGGCACCCCTGTCTCCTGCCCCACCTCCTTCTCTTCCAACCCCCTTCAGCCTTCCCAGTCCAGGTCTCTCACACCTGCCACGACCCTCCTCCTGCAGACCCCGTGCAACGGCTGCCTGGAGCCCTTTTTCTTCCCCTCTGTCCCTCTGTATCTCCTCCTCATCTTCAGATCCCATTGAATGCGCCAAATCCTTCTGTTACAGTCTCTTAAAGCAAATGTAGACCTCCTGGAATTGTGACAATTTTACATTTGCTTGTGTTATCCGTTGATTCAAGTCTGTCCTATCCCTCATCCCCTACATTATAAATTCCATGAAGACTGGGCTCATATCTGTTTATGCTCATCACTGTCTTTAGCGCTTAGTCTACTGCCTGTCCAATAATATAAATATTTGTTAGATGAAAGAGTAAATAAAGATGTCATCTCTGCTCAGGGAGGGCCATTGAGGGGACAGCATCTTGGTGGGGTGACTGCTACAGAACTGGGTCCGCAGTTCTGCAGGACTAGAAATTCCGTTGTGTCAGCAGCCTCTTAGTATAGACTTGCACTGATGCAACTCACAAGAAACTGAGATATAAACCAGGAGCATGCGGAGCCACATGGGGAGAGTTAGACGTGTGGAGCTGACCAGACACTTTCTTTGCAGGGGCAGCACTGTCCCTTCCTGTGAGTGAGCCACAGCCTGGCAAAGAAACCTGGGGCTTCCTGGTTTATTAAGTCTCATCACTTCAGATCATCACATCTGAAATGCTTTTCCTAAGAGCATTGACAAGTCACAGGGGCCTTTACTAAAGGTGTCTCGAGGACATGAGGAGGGAGTCACATTGCATAACTTCCTAAGGATCTCTTTACAAGTCCCTCCCTTCACAGAGCTCCACTGCTGAGGGCAGTCCTCACGTTTCTCCCTCCTGTTTGCTTTCTCTCTCGTTGGAATTGGCTTTTTGCATGGGGGCTTCAGGCTTCTTCTACATAAAGCCAGCTTCCCATCTCTCTGCTTGAGACTGTATGGTTATATGAGCTGAATAAATGGCTAATATGGATACTTCAGACAGTTTTAAAGTCTGTTTCATTCTGTTCTTTACCTGTGCTCAGGTGTATACTAAGTGACCTAGGATACAAAGGGCTCAGGGGTCTGTAGGAACAGTTTGCCATGGCGGGAGGCATATTTGATGACTGACATTGTTGAGAATTGATGTGACAATAAAAAGCAGATGATTTTGGCCAATTTACAGACGACCCATACATATATGTGTGTGTNGTCCTCCACAACTAGACTGAAGAACAAAAGGACAGCAACTTGTCTGTTCCCCTTCTCCCAATTCCCCAGCGCTGTTCCCATCCCCCAATTCCCCAATTTAATAAAAAAAAGATTGCTTAACTGAATCTTGGAAACCTTTTAAAACAGTCTTTCAAGTTATAAACGATTCTGAAGCTGGGCTATTCACTATCTTTTCTCCGACCCCGGAAAAAAATGACTTGCTACCAACACATTCTAAGAGGGACTGTCTACTTCCCACCTATGGAGAAGAGGTACTTCCCCTTTCTAAATCCATTCACTTACTAATACTTAATAAGCACCTTCTCTGTGCCAGGCACGCAGGATATACAGCGGTGAGAGAGACACACTGCTCCTGCTTTGCTCTTAGGAAACATACAGTCCGGGAAGGTACAGATATTAAACAAACAGTTCCATATACTTATCTATAGGGAAAATAAACACTCGAAAGGGGACAGAATATAGATACGTGGATACATCTCAATAATGACGGGGAATATCAAAGAACCAAAACCACAAATTCTCAGGCAGAAAGGAATGACCACGTGCTAAAGAAAGTATTGACAGTGAAACACACCCAGTAGTCAAACTTCAAAACCTCAGGAATAAACATGTGCTAATCGATTGATGGGCGAGGAAAGAGGGGAGAAGCAAAAGACACCAAAAATAACTCAAGGTATCTGGCCTGAGCAACTGGAGGAACAGGAAGGGGAAGGGTGCAACTCAAAATTTCATTCAATTAAGAGATGTCATGTGAGCGCTGAATATAAGCACCTGGAGTTCAATGGGCAGCACTGGGTTGAAGATGGAGACTTCAGGGTTAACGCAACAGATGTTATTGATATTTAAAGCCTTGAAATGGGTAACTCCTAGGACGTGAACACAGAAGATTAGGATGAGACAACCATGGAAGGAAGAGGGGCAAGAATTGGCAGAGAGGCCAGGGAGGGCTGAGGCTAGGACGACTGTTCCCCAAGCCAAACGAAGACCGCGTTTCCAGGGGCAGGGATCAGCTGCACCAAATACCGCTATGGGGCCGAGAACGAATTTAACACTGAATTTGGCGACTTAGCGATCACTGGTGGCTGTGACAAAGCGCCATTTCAGTGGAGTGGTGGCGGGCAAGGCCTGCGTACAGTGGGTTAAAAAGAAACTCGGAGAAAGGGTGCTAGTGAGTACAAACTGAATCTTTGGCTGCAAAGGGGGCAGAGAGAGATGAGCGGCGGCAACTGGCAGTATATGGAGGGAGAATGAGGTTGTTTTGGTAAGAGGGGCACATCTTGAGCATGTAATAAAAACAGCCAGAGTTCGGGGCCCATCCTTCGGCCTGGTCTTCTCGCACCTGGGCTAAGCGTCCCGCCTTTGCCAGCCTCGTTAGGCTCCGCCCGCTGCTGCTTCCCACGGTCGCGGGACGGACCGGCGCACGCGCAGATCTCACAGGCCGGCGCAGGGCCTCCTCCCGGAGCCCCACCTCTCCCGCTGGGAGACCAGGGCGCATGCGCACTGGACCTAAAGCGCCGCCGCTGGGAGGCCCGGAAATCGCCCCGGAGAAGGAGGATCCTGGCCCTCTCCGCTCCCGCCATTCTCCTGGGGTCCCAGATCGCGACACATCCCCACCTACCGAGTCACGATTGGAGCAAGCACGTCCCGCTGGAAACTGCGACTGGCGGGAGCAAGCGCCTCCCTCAATGCTTTTCAAAGTCTGCGGATAATAACCGCGCTTGCGCACGAAGATTGGCGGCAGGTCCAGAACCACACTTTTCCTGTTTTATGAGCTAAGTCGCAGCGCGGAGGGCCCCCGCCCTCTACGCGTGCGCCGTCTTTCCTCTGTGACGTGCAGCGCTGCCCCTGGGAAATGTAGTTTTTACTTCGTACACTGCCCGACTCTTAAGCTGAATCTTATTTTAATAAACCAGGGTCCTTCTGTGTTTTCAGTATCCTCTCTCATTCCTCCAGAGCCTCTGTAAAATAATTTTTTAAAAAATGAAAAAAGCAGATTGTTGATTGAGGGGGAGCAGTGGGCATTTCAGAACTCTTCTGCGTCAATTTTGCTGTGACCCTATTGAGTTGTTGGAAAAGTCATGACACGTTTTCGCAACGAAAAACATAGACAAAAATATGTCATGACTTTTCCGACACCCCAATAAAACTGCTCTAAAGTCAATTTAAATTTAAAAAAAGTAAAAAAGCAAGCAAATCTATAGATCCTTAAATTGTGCATTTAGGGACCCTCCCTAGGCACATCTTAAGGATGTAAGCAAACATTTAGCTATAATGCTTTACATGCTAGTATCTTATAATTTCTTACATAACCCCTACCAAAATTTATGTTTATATATTTATTTGTTTGATTACTTGATACACTGGCTAGCTCAGGTTAGGGTCATCTGTTTCGTTCAACTATGTATTCCCAGTACTTAGCACAGTGTCTGGCACATAATAGGCCCTCAATATTTTTGTACTCATTAGAAGAATCTCGGATTTCTTTTTTTTTTAAGATTTTTATTTTAATTGGGGAATTGCGGGATGGGAATAGCGCTGGAGAATTGGGGGGAGGGGAACAGACAAGTTGCTGTCATTTTGTTCTTCAGTCTAGTTGTGGAGGACGTTGCTTCACTGGCACATGTTGGCACCATCATTGAGCTCTTCC